TCGGTGGATTAAACATCTTAATTTTTTAGATGGTTATGCATCAAATTTAAATAGATGTGTTGATATGAAAGAAGCAAAGTTGCATGAAATGAAAAGTCATGATTGTCATATATTCATATAGCGATTACTTCTCATTGCATTTGATAGTTTATCAAATACTATTTGGAAACCACTTGTTGAGCTTAGCCACTTTTTCAAAGAATTGACTTGCACTACATTATACATAAACAAGTTAATAGATATGAAATGTGTTATCCTTGTGTTATTAGAACAAATATTTTCGCCATTTTTTTTTATTCAATAGAGCATCTTCCAATTCACTTGCCTTATGAAGCACGAGTTGGTGGTCCAGTTCAATATCATTGGATGTATCCATTCGAGAGGTATAAATTTTTAAACAAACTAAATATAAAGTTATTTTTTATCTTTATTAGTATATTTTTAATCAATTATAATGTATCCATTTAGGTTCTTGTAATCTTTGAAAGAAAAAGTGAAGAACAAGGACAGAATAGAGGGTTCTATTTGTGAAGCCTATTTAGTAGAAGAAACATCTACTTTTGCTTCATTTTACTATTCATCAAACATAGATTCAAGAAGGACTATAATTACATGTAATTTTGAAGGCAAATGTTGTTCATCTAGTCCTCTAATCTTTATTTTTAATTTCTAGCACACAGTTGTGGCAAATCCTATGAATATTACTTCGAAGAACATGAGTTGAAAGTTGCTCATTTATATGTTCTACAAAATTGTGAAGAAGTAGAGCTATATTTAGAGTAAGTTAATCAATGTCTTACTGCATTCAATTAGATAATTTTAGCTAAATATTTTTTTTTTATTCCTAACATGTTTTGTCCAATATTTGTAATATTTATTTTGAACTCCTACAAGAGCTTCAACATGATATTTTAGACTTTCAAATTGACGAAAAAATTGCCTCTCATTTTCCTAGTTGGTTCAAAGGATATGTACATCCCTCTTTCTTTTAATATAATATTCAAGTAATGTTATACCTAATTTTTTATTATGTTTAATTTTATATTTGATAAATAGGTTCAAAATCTAGAAAATCAAATTGAAGAACAACTATTGATTTTGTTGGCATGGGGACCATTAAGAAGGGTTGAGTCCTGGCCTATTTACATCATAAATGGGTATAAATTTCACACAAAAGTATGAAAACTTCTAATTATAGTGTTTGTGTACGAGGAACACACGATGTATTAGAATATGACTTTTATGGAATGTTGACTGATATTATTGAATTAGAGTATATTGGCATACCCATTAAAAAGTTAGTATTCTTTAAGTTGTCATTAAGACTAAGGCACGCAATGCAATAAGTAATAATTTGTTTGATCAAGTTGACATTGAAAATCTATATCAAGATGTACATGTTGTTGATGACCTTCATGTAATATGTTATTTAATTTTTTAGGATCAGTTTATTCAACATTGAACTAAAGCCCATGCACATGACGATGATGATAATGGTGAAGAGGGTGCCTTAGGTGACCATTCTTTAGCTGTTGACAATGCTATTTTTTTAAAAGTTATTGAAGGAAGAAACAAGAAAGGTCATGTGTATGGGGTAGGACAATTAGATGAAGAGTTTGTAATCTTATCCTCTCCTTGTACGCATTCTAATATTAGTTCCAGTGTTCACTGTCAGCAAATCATTGCTAACTTTAATGCAAAATTAGCAACGAATGACAAACACATTGATACTATGTAGTCTGAATCATAGAGTACCAATTCAAAGACAACTGAGGACATTCTTTATAACATGTTAAACACTTGGGAATTTCAACCAGTACTCAAGTGGATAATTCTCATATTAGGTGATGATGTTGGTTCTCCTCATTATAACATTGATTTACTTTTATGATTTAGGACTTTATTTTTATTTGTTATGTCAATGATTATTCCCTTCATATTTTTTGAGCTATACTTTGTTATGGAGTTAAATATTTATTGTTATGGATTCTATAATTATTTTACTTCTTTAAATGTATTTTTTATCATGTTTGTAGTTTTGGACTATTAGCAAGTTTTGCTAAATATCACATCTTATATAAACATGTTTAGTTAAACAAACAGGTCTTGTTAAAAAAAAATTTTAGAAAAATTAAATTATTCATTATAATTAACCACCAAATTTAACCACTGAATTAGTGACTGATTTTGCTACAGATGTTTGTTGCATCTTAGCCATAAAAATTGCAACTGAATAAGGTAGACGCAAAACTGCAATCGACTTAGCTACCAAAATGCTTGTAGCAGAATATAACCACTTAGCAACTAAATTAACAAACGAAAAAGGGGTTGCAATTAGTAATAGAAATAGGTGGTCACAATTATAGACTGAAATAGCAACCAGGTAGGTAGGTGATGACTAAATGGCGACCAAAATTTTTTGATTGTTAAATTTAAATTTCTGCAACCAAATACATTTTTGGTCGCTAAAGATGTTTGCGACTAATATATTAGCCACCTAACATAATTGGTGGCTAAAAAAATTCGCAATCAAATTTTATATTTTAGCCACCGATTTTGTGAGTTACTAAATGCATTTTTTCTTATTGTGACTCAAACACGACACAACTAATGGAACATGTTCTTGTCATTATCTCGAAAACGATTATACACTTCAAAGAAAAGGATTCTAGCGTCCACCTTACTTCTAGGAACGTCACCATAGCGACCCTCATGGAAGGGGAGAAGGTGGTAGCAATTTTGGTGCGCATTGACAATCAAATTTGATGGTCGTTGGCGAAAAACAAGTTAGTGATGAAACTAGATGAGTCTCATTGCTACTTTATGAGGTTTCAAAAAAGCACGGGGAGAATGAGTTGAAAGTGTTGAATTATAGGTTCATGCTGGCGGTGAAAGGGCAAGAGAGGGTGCTTAAGGAACTGGATGAAGTTTTGTAGAAGTATTGCTTTGTATCAGAAGAGAGTGAAGGGTGTGTGTGGGTGGAAGGTGTTGGATGGGTCTGTTGAAGGAAACTTCATCTTAAATTTTAGTAATTTATTTACCATAAAATCATATCAATTATCATAATTCATCTACTACTTATTTAAACGTATTACTTTGCATACCACTTTGCTTATTCAAGTAAAATAAAGGAGGTTAAAATTCACCCATATCAATTACTTCGAGTGAACAAGAAATATGTGAATAATAAATAAGAAATTTTAATGTAAAATTTTAACTAAATCCAATTTAAACCAAAAATAAAACAAAATATATAGAAAAATCTTCGTTTATGTTTCAAAGTCAAAAACTTAAGCCAACAGGTAAGATAAAAAGATAAAATAGGTAACACAGTATATGGAACTCCAAAATTCACCTACTTTTTTATGACTATTGTGCCCCTTTATAATAGTGTTAGCATTATTAAGAAACGCTAAGCTATTACTAGATGAACAAATACAAGAACAAAACATCAGAGAAAAAGTACTATGCGCATCACTCACAAGTCTCCCTATACGTCATCATTTCGAGGAAGTAATTCTGGTAAGATGAAGCTGCATGCAAAGAAAGTTTTACGTAGAAATTGCAGACATGCACGATATGAATCTAAAGTAAGATACATTCATGTAACTGGATTGCAAAAGTAGATATGACTATACATTCAGTAGTAAAATAAAGTGGACCTTCTTTAAATTGATTTTAATTATCTGGATTTTATAATATAATTTTGGATGTGGATTAGATTTGGGCCAGCAAATCCAATTATATTCAACATGCCTACAAATGACATGAAAGAATGAGAATACTAGCTAAAAAATGGTATAATTAGGGATAAAAGAAAGAAATTAAACTCATGTTAATTAATTACACAAATAAGAAAAGGAATAATTGTAAATGGCTTAGAAAGAGACTTGTGAGAGCATTTCAAGCAGGACAAATTAGTTCAATTAGTTGAAAGATAAATATAGTACGTGAAGAGCTCAAAAGAAATGAAATGGCATTTAATACATGAGTAATAGTCATTAAAATTTTCTGCTTATTAGTTTAATTCTTAAAATTAGTTAATGTAAAAAATCAGTCATTTAGAGTTTATTTATTTTCTGTTTTAAAAAATATTTTTTTATTTTTAAATGTAAAAAAATAAATTTGTTTGTTAACATAATTTTTTTCATTTTCATTTTCTTCTTAAAAATAAATTTTTTAAAATATTTTAAAATATAATTTTTAAAAATTAAAAACTAAAATAGAACCAAACATATCCTTAAATTCTTAAAATTGTTAAAAAAAAATATTGTCTCTAAATTATAAAAAATAATATAATTTATAAAATTATAAATATCTACCATTTTAGTCCTTAATATTGTGAAAAATAATTTTTAATCTCTAAAACTATTAGAAATTAAATCAAATTTATTAATTTTTGTTAAACTCATCCAACAACATATTTAATGTAATAAACTAAGGACTCGTATATGATGTAAAATTATATGGGTCATTGAACAAAATTCTTGAAGTTGATTTCCAAGATATTAAACATGGAAAAAGGTTATTCGCACAAACCGGAAAACATTAAGCATTTACATTACTAGCATTTTTTTAATAAGTATCTTGCACACGAGGGAATACATTTCGAGCATAGAACTAGCTCCCTTACATCGATTTTTTCTATTCACAAAATTCAAACATGTATCACTTGATCATGCACACTATTAGCATTTTTTTCAACCATATATAATACTTAGAATTCTTAGAGTTTTTCATTTAGATATATATATATACATGATGATTTTATTTTGAAAATTTTCAAGTCACGCATCGCATACGCCACCCAACACATTAGTACATAAAACAAAACGGAATAGACGCATATATTTCAGATATATATATTACAAACCCAAATTCCATGGGAGATGCAGCGATAGAATAAACCATATTGTTTAAAATTTGTTTGACATACTGTGAATGCAAAATCCATAAATTAAAGCTAAAAGAGCAAGGCACATCCTATCCTCACGTTAAGACTATGGTTTTGAGTTTGACTGATCCAGTAGTTGTTGTTGTGCCCCACTGTCATTGTGGGTAGCATGAGGAACACGATGTTCCCCTTGTTGCTGCTGCATCTGAGAAGTGTCAACAGAACCACCCACACCCACCACCTTATACACAGCATTGAACTTCATCTCTTGGTCTTGCCGCTGAGGGTCAAGAATCAAAAAAGGAGGTGCCATTTCGTGTCCACTGTAAGTAAAAACAGGTGGATACGAATGAGGCATGAGAATGCTTGTAGGATTCAGCAAAAACGCTTCCATAACATGAGGGCTAACGTAGGAGGATAGTTCCTTCTTCGCCTTTTCAAGATCCGTTTGGAGTTGATGGAGCTTGTTTTCAAACTCGGTGATTAAAGCGATGCAACCATGCACGGGGTCCCTCACACGTGCCTCCGCCTGGTACACGAGCGTCTTGATTATGTTCTCACGTGCCTCCTCCGGAACACGCTTCAGAATACTTGCCACGTGTCCCGATCCGAACACGTGGTGCATGCACTCGAACTGTTGCCGGTTTTCCACCGGAAAGTGCGGCGCGAACAGGCACTCTGCCACGCACTTTCGCCGCAAACTCTTGCATGCTCCACAGGGTGTACTCCTCGTTGTCATCTTCCTTTATCTTCTCCTAAATCAATAACTCCCAATAATCATTCAATTAGCCAAATGCTCACGGATTCAAAATCATTACATGTTACAAAATATAATGCATTAATAACAGAGTAAAATACAAATGACTCCCGTAACGATAATTGATCGATAACAAAAATTCTTTGTTAAAATCATGATCGGGCGTGGAGATTGAGGAACTATTGAGATAAAATGATATTGAGGAGGATTATTCAACGGCGATGCACCGTTCTTGATGTGAAACTAACTTTCAAAAAGAGTTTAAAACATTAATTTCATTTGAAACGAAATTTTTCTTTCTTTTTTATCCCCTGTTTTGGGGAAAACTTGCACCAGTGAATTTAGATACGACACCTTTGCACTGCGATGAAACATGAAAACAAAGAGAGAGCGAGAGAGCTTACAATGGTGTGAAACCAAGGCCACAACGTTTAGCATAGAACTTTCAGTGTTGTGAGGTTAAATACGATTATGTTCTTTTTATAACTTTTCATTTATGTACTGTTATGAGAAGATAGCACTAATATTAAATATTGATTTGACATGTATGGAAAAAAAATTAAGCATTTAATTAATTAAAAATTTATAAATATTTTGTAAATTTAATTATAAAACATTTCCCGATACGGTATCTGGCTTTGATTATAAAATCTAGTAATAATAATTATTCATGACAAATATACATTTTTATCTGGACACGCACGATAATAAAAGATAAACATGTTTGAGCAATTAAAAATATTATAAATGAAAAAATTTAAACCTAAATATTCGAGATCATAAATTAAATTATAATAATTTTATGTTAGCTTATTCACACCCATAAAAATAAATATCGTCGTTAAATATTTTCAATTAGTATATAAAAAAGAGCATATTTATTTACTCTAAACGTAAATTTTAGAAACTTAATTCATTCAATGAATATTTTATTTAAAATAAATCTAATAAATTAATTCTTTAATATTTTTATAATCATTTATGTTAAAGATTAGATATTTATAATTATGCAATCGTATAGTAAACATTTATTTATACTGTCACACACAGAGACACACGTATATATATCATAAATTAAAATAAAAGTAATTAATGATCATTTAATTTTAAAATAACATAATTTAACAAAATATTAAATATTTTCAAAAACTTACTAAATGAAATAAAGTTAACAAAAAAAATTCAAAACAATGCATCCCCACCATAAATATTTCACGGTATAGTATGTAATTTTATTACCCCGAAACATTAATATAAACATTTCATTTAATGCACATGAAAAATAATTTTATAATAATGTAAAGAAAAATAAAAGTTTAATTATCTGTATTCTCAATATCGCATCTACGTTATTTCCAAAAAAAATACTGAAATTAGTTCCATTTATTAGTACGGGTAAAAAACACATTAGTTTCAATCTAATAATTTGAAAAATATTAAAATCGTAAAAATCACATCTTATCATCTTTTTGTAGAACATCTCATTACATGTTTATGTTTTTTTTATCGTACAAACAACAAAACCATAAGATTGATCACGTAATTATAAGGTTTAGTTATTTTATATAAATTTTTAAAAAATATTTATAAAAAAAATAAGGAGTAACATAACTAATTTTTTCTCATGACTTAAAATTAATGATTTATACAATTCATATTTACTTCTTTACTTTTTGTATTACAGGAGTACTCAGTAAAAGTTAATTCAAACTAGGTCTAATTGATTGAGAAGTTTGAACAATCATATGTTTTATCATTTGAACATTAAAAAATTGATAGTATATATATGTTGTATATAATTTTTTTTTTTCTATACTCATATTTTAAAATGCCTTACAAAATAAATAAAAATATTTATTGTTGTCTTACTTAAATGTAGAAAAACAAGATTTCTGAAATTTTGTTGTCTTAAAAAAATTATTTGTTTTAATGATTTAATATAAATTTTTTTGGAATATACACTTTTCATCATTTAGTGTGAATTATATGTGATTTTAATTTTTAAAATTTTAGTTAATTTATTAAGTTAAAATTGATTAAATGCAATTTTGTTATTACTTTTCTTCCATATGAAATCTTTAAATTATTATGTTTTGTTCAAATATTTTATAAATAAAATAATTAAATTATTTTAATTTTTTCTATCAAAATTTATTAAGTAAAACATTAATTTTGATGAGACTGTTCTTGAGCAACCTCTAATCTGACCAACAAAATTGCGACTAGCAGAAGAAGGAAGCTGTGTGGGAGAATCAAGAGAGAGGCCTTTTGTTACTAAGGATAATACAGTAATATCAACATTTACACATGAAAGTAATTATACGCTCCATCCCATACTCCCCAATTTAGGAGAAATGAGATAACGATTGATTTAGAAGGCCATCATCTTCTATTGCCTTTAATTTTAAAATCTAAATAATGAAACTTAAGATTACTTTTTTTTTTTTTTTCATTTCTCTCTATGCCATTATCTTTCATTTATGTGAATATAACATTAAAAAATTAATAAAAATGCTTTCCTTTTCATTTTATTTCTTTCCATTCCATTATCTTCATCAATCTAAACAAAATCTAAAAAATTATCTTAACAATACTTAAAATACTGCATTTAAATTTTATTTCTTTAACGAACCTCTAAAAAGTACAGGAAAAAAAAATTATAATAGAATGAATAAGATGAAGCTGGAAATGAACATAATAACGCCTTAATTGAAAGCTATCTGAATTCTCATTTACAATTTTGTTTCAGCAAAAAGCAGACTAGCTGAGACATACAATATACTTCTATTTCCCAATATATGTCGGTATCTTACTTTTTAAAATGTAAGCACCTTGAAAATCTTATTTGATGTCAAAAACAACTGAACAATGAAGGATTTGTGAATCTCACATGGATGGTATACTCCTCAGGCTCTCTATCTATATATCCATTTGCATTCGACAGCAAACTGCGGAAGATCTGCAGAAGAAAGCCAAACAAAGGTATTAAGAAATGTCTCCTGCATCTAATGCCATCAATTACGTGACAATATCAATATAAAGGAATTAAATAAATACTGAAATACTACTTATTGATATTACCCACATAGTGATACAGCAATTTCATACATGTTTGTTTATCTTTTAAATAAATGGAAAATAAAGAATATGGTGTTCACCAATTACATGACTAAGAGTAACTCTGTACTTGACCCAAAAAAAAGTGTAATTAATTCTACATTGTTTGTCTCAGCACACTTTTTGAGTTTTCTTTCCTTTTTTCTTTTTATTTACACACAATTTAGTTATACATATATTTGATTGAAATAAAAAATTTTATTCGAATCCATCCGAAAATTGGACACATCTGAAATCCACGAACATCTTTGTACTAGCAAAGCCTTTTTTTCAATGAGACAAAACATAAACTTACTTGAAAGAATAAATATGTATGGCAAACCATGATTAAAGTGTCATGTAACTGTCTGATATTTCATTAACTCATAAAAGGAGTGGGTGTGTATAGGTCAAGATTTATGGATGCCACAGAAGCAGACAAAATCTGTTGAACCCACAATGGATTTATCTTGCACTTTACATCCCAACCTTTTGGCTGGCATATCGGTTTCCTCAAATTCTCTTTCACACAGCATATAATTTCATTAGGTAAAGAAGGACAATCTTATCGACGCTAATTAATAATATTAAAAAAAAGGAACTAATCTGACTGCATAGCATTGGTCTTATAAAAAGGAACCCCTGGTGACCATAATGGTTGTTACTAAGTCACCATAACATTTTTCTTTGGTTATAAAAGAATGTGGAAGTTGTCAAACTTGTCATGTTCATATTAGAGCATGTCTTACTGTTTTAAGCGAATGATTTCTAACTGTATTTTGTCAACAAAAGGATGATTGATAAGAATCAAACACAATATTTTAACAGTTAGATCCTAAGTAGGGTTACGATTGATTAATACTCGTCATTGCATTTTAATTAGCAGAACATAAGATAAGTAGATTATATGATGGAAAATCCAAAGTGGCATTTATTACTCAAGTGATAGTTATGAATCAACCTCGGGAGAAATTCTCAAGCTTTTCTCTGAAATAAAGAGCTACTTTCATTATTTTATTTTATTTTTGGTAAATAAGTTATCTTTTGCTACTCATTATTAAATGTGTATGAACTAAATTATCGCTTTCTTGTATTTAATACCATAGCTAAGGTGGCACAGTTCAATTGCGGTTAAACACCTAACAATGTCTCCTGCTACGACCATCAATTAATCAATCTCGTTGTAAAAAGACCATTCCCCTATAGACTGTTTCAGTCATAACATTAAGCTAGCAAAGCAAACAATGGTATATTCGTTATTTTCTTTTATTAATAATGTTGTATATCTTATCGGTATTCTCCACAAAAAAGGTAAGATTTGAAGTGTTTTGTAGACCAAGAGAACGTGATTATAGGAATGCTTAAACGTTGAATATTATGATGAACCTATAATCTAAGTTGAAGTGCATACCTGTATTATATGTTTGAAGTAAGTGCATGATAGCTGCAAAATTGAGAAATCAAGAGGGACCAATACTCCTAGTATCCTCAGTTATTTCAGAGTGTAGCTGTGATTGCTGTGTATGTTGGTGCTGCGGTGAGAGAAGAAGCTGCGCCTCAATTGGATGGAGGTGAGAATGAGGAACATGGTGTTCCCCTTGTTGCTGCTGTTGCATCTGATAAGGAGCAACATTCTCGAAGGTTCCAAGAGCCAAAGAAGGAGACAACTCACCTCCAGTCCCGCCCATCTGGTTCCCGAACACACCCACATGCTCCAACCCATTATTAAACTTCATAAACTCTTCTTGCTGCTCATAGTTCCGAAGCAAAACCTGTTGCTGATACGGATGCTGATGCTGTTGCTCTCTATCTGCAGCTAACTGCTGAGCTTGTAGAAACTCCTGTTGCTGAGAGTCACGAATCATTAACTGGCCACCGCCATGACCAACCAAAACGGGTTGCGGCACGTTGTTATCCCCAAAATTGTTGAAAACAGATTGATGCAAATGCGGCATGAGAACACCAGAGGATGATAACATTCCAGGATTGGCCAAGAGAACTTGCATTGCCTGGGGGCTAATGTAGCTGGCTAATTCCTTCTTGGCGTTGTACAGATCCGTTTGGATTTGACGGAGACGGTGTTGTAGCACTGAGATGAAGCCCACGCACCCGTACACGGGGTCCCTTATACGCGCCTCTGCCTCGTACGCCAGAGACTTAACGGCGTCGTCTCGCTGCGTGGCGCTTAGTTCTTTCAGCAGTTTTGTAACGTTGCTCGCCCCGAACACTCGGTGCACGCACTCGAACCGTTGCGGGTTGTCTGGTGGAAAATACGGCGCGAACACGCACTCCCGCGTGCACTTCCTCCGTAGAGACTTGCACGCCGCGCAAGGTGAATTCGGAGACGACATCTTCTTCCTATCTCTCTCTCTCTCTCTCACCGTAACCTAAACCAATAATTACAAAATAATAAAAATAATTATTTATTATTGGCTATGGTCATGGTAATTAATAGTTTAATGAGAATGCATGGAAATTGGAGATAACGTTATGATAATTCAACGAAGTTCGCGTACAGATTATTGAATGAGAAGCAAACGATTCAAATTTAAAAAAATCGAGGTCATAAGAACTATAAGAGCATCGCCATCATCAAGGCCAATACGTCCTTCATATGAAAAACGACACCGGATGAGCCAAACCTGTTATTTTCATCAATTCCGTTTTTTGGGGGCCTGGAAAGTTGCAGTGGTGAATCTCGATACGGCACCGTTTCCAAGTTACGAATGATGAAGGCGAGAAAGAAGATTGGAATAGAGAGAGAGAGAGCTTACTGTGGGGTGAAATGGAGGCGAAAACGCATGAGATGGAATATTCACAGCTTGGTTTGGTTGAGGCTGAGAATGAGGAAGCGATGAAAGAGAGAGGAGGCGATTCTAGTTTCTTCTTCAACGCTACTGCCACAAGCGACCCTTCTTCGATCAATGTTAATTATTCTTATTTTCTTTTTCTTTTCTTTTTCTATTTATATGTGTGTAACTATTTTCAAAACTACCTGTATTACTTATTCATTTCATGCAATAAACGAAAATAAAACATGTAATACGATAAATATAATGACTTACATCTTAAAAATTATATTATATATTAAATTAAAATTAATTAATGACTGATTAACTAAATTTAAAACTATATAAAAATTTCTAGACTTTATTTCAACTCAATAAATAAATTTAAAAAATTAAACATGTATGAAAAGTTATTTAATAAAAAAATCTTATTAATACGATATCTAATTTTACTTTTAAAAAATTAATAATAAATAATTCATACATATAAAAAAGATTAGTAATTTAAGGAAAAATAAAAGATAAAAGATAAAAGATTTACTTATAAAATATTTTTTAATATGATATTTATATAATTTGAACGAGAATTTTCTCAAGTGGAGTTTTTACATGAGTGGGTATAATGAATCCATCCAATCCATTTAATTTTTTAAAAACAAAATCAACAATTAGTATTAAAATATTTTAAAAGAGTTTGTTTTACGAATTTTGAAATTACATTTCTCTCTTTCTTACTTCTTTTTGCATTACAAACTTATGACTATAACTATATTAAAATGTCTCTTTTAAGTTTGAAATACGTGATAAGAAGGAAATTAAGGGTTAAAAAATGCTAATAACTCAATCTTTGTAATTGGTTCGGTTAAAACAAGTTAAACCAATTTTTAAAGAGCAATTAATGTTTGAGGTAAGTACTTGACTTTTTAAATTTTCAACTAATAACAAAATATATATATATATATATATATATATATTAAATAGTGTATTCAAAATAATATATTACTAGCAATTGTTATGAAAGGTAACAATGGACTAATTATAGTCGAATCTGTTTATTCCCTCATGTTTAATATCATTTGATTGAAATAATTGTTTTGATTGTGGTGGACACTATTGGTCTCAAATACTAGTAATAAACAGTCATTTGTTGTCCATCACATACTTGATGTAAGGGAAAGAAAAATGAGATTACAACAAATGTATTATTTTAATGATTAATGTAGATTTAATATAATGATTATAGCTTCTTTTCTACTTAAAAAGCTAGGAGAAAATGGTTTTTTTCAATGCAAAAGGCCTGAAGGTTTAAATAATTCGATGGCTTTATATGCAACAATTATCTTATGAACATTTGAAACATGAGTTATTGGTACCGAACACCTAGCTTTCAATTCAATCGTTACCTACACTCAAAATGTGAGATAAACTTATAGATAATAAATATCTAGAATGTTTAATTCTTCTAATTTGGGCTGGGTGCACGTATATGTAGTAAACTAATTAGAGTAACTAATTACTTAATTAAGCAATTAGTTTAGTAAGAATTGTAGTTAATTAATTATTAAAATATCATGGGTAAACAACTATATATTTATTTCTTGCATGATCCTTTGAAGACTTAAACGTTCCGGAAAAAATTGTAACTTAACAACAGACTAATTTCCTTTTTGAAAACATTCATGTATTATAAATAAAATATGCATTCAATTTCAATATTTGTTCAATTTTAAACATGCTATATAGCTATTGTGACAATTCTTATGATTTTGAGAGGCATATATTATCCATAACACTTGAAGTATTATAGATATATTAAATTACATTTTAAAAAGTATATTATATATTAAATTAAAATTAATTAATGAAATATTAACTAAACTTTAGACTAGATAAAAATTTATAAACTTCATTTAATTAATAAGAACTTTCAACTTAATAAATAAATTCAAGAAATTCAATGTGTATGAAAAGTTGTTTAATAGAAATTTTTTTATAAGATTTACTTCTAGAGTGAGTCTAATTTGACACGTCTAAAATTTTGTGCTTCCATCTCTTGATGATGTCTCAAACCTTACACTCAAAAGTCTTATAATCCTATGAAGAGAAAAGGTTATAATAAAGTTTCGACGAAGGAAAGAAACTTGATGAATTGTAGTAAGAAGAAGGTGAAATGGATAAAGATATGATAAAGGATGGTTCGACAATAGTCATGGAAGAAGAACTTCCATTTGAAATTTCTATTCAACAAGTGATTTATAACTAATATGCACCTCCTTTAATATAATATGGAGATCAAGTTTTAGCCTTCCAAAGGTTAGACCTTATTTTAAGGATGATTGAATTGTTAAATTAATCTTGAAATATTTTAATATTTGACAAAAATATATTAAAGTAACAAGGAACATAGTCTAGAACAGATAATATATAAAAAAAATTGTATCTATAGAAGAATATAAGTGTTAGTATTCTTTTAAAACTACTAGCAACATTTATTATTACAAAAAAAATTTGTATTTAACAATAATAATTATCGTTAACAATATATATATATATATATCATAGCAATAAAAGTTGTTGTTGTAAATTATTTTTTAAATAATATTTATTGTAGTCATATCCTGATTTTTCTCAAGTCTAAGTAATATATTATTATTTTATAGCAATTCAAATTGTTGAGATAATATTTAACTATATATTTTTTTATTAATTTTTGTCATTATAAAAAATTTATGCATATTTAATTTTGTTATAATATAAATTATATTTTTATAATTGAAATTATTAATACCTATTAGTTTAATTGTTATAATTATTTAAAATTAAAGTATATAATAAAATTGAGTTTAACAAATGCCTAATTTTTTTATATCAAAACATGACAAATTTCAATCATTTTTCAATATACAAACAAATTTTTATAAGAAAAATATTAGGCCAAAAATTTAACAATCAAGTTAACTTTGTTACATTAATTATTATTTGAAAATTCTTCTATTCACATGGTGCATGTCATTAATTAGTTTATGTCATTAGATTAAATGTCTTATTTCTCTAATAAGCCACCAAAATTAATCTTTATCCTTATTCTTTTCATAAATTGCAATACTAACACAAGTCACACTTTAATGAAAAAAAAAACAAACAAACAAACCTGTAATAAAATGTAGTTTCAAAGTAAAATATATAATTCTAATGCTAAATTTGTAATTAGACCCTATTTTACAGCCCATATATTCATATTTGACCTATATTTTATTTGAAGTTTACACTAATTTATATATTAATTATGCAATTTGGTGTAAAGATGTTGCAAGTGGACTTTAAATGCGTTTTGGGCCCAAAACGATAGAAGATTAGAGTTTCGCAGCAGTCAGCACACTCAGACTCTTTCAACAAGCACGGGAGTACTTCGAGCCCATACACGATCGTGCTTAAGGCATTGCACGGCTATGCTCATCTGCGAGAAGCCCAATTATGAAGAGTCTTTAAAGTTTTCAAACCCTATTAAAAGAGGACCTCATGCCTCACATGAGACACCGTTTTTACCTTGGCTTTTGCTCTGGGATACATCTCATCTCGTCTCTCTTGCACGGGATCTTTGACACACTCTTGACGGGACTTGAAGCTTCGAGCGACCGTACTTGAAGACTGAGAACTCATCTCATTCTACTTTGCTATTTCTTTTAATTATGGCTTTATTTATGATTGTTTTAGTTCTTTTCTTTAGCATGAGTAACTAAGTCCATAGCTAGGGCTATGAAAACTATTGTTCATGAATTTATGAGGTTTTGAAGTTTGAATCTAAATTTGATTTCCGTTTCATAATTAAATTTTATCCTATTGTGCTTCTCTCTTAATCTTAATTAATTATATCGTCAGGCGACCGTACCTTGGTTAATTAATAGATCTATAGGGTAAAATGAGACAAAGGTTAGGTGGACCAAACCAATCTTTCTCTTCTAATCGTTATTAAATTAACAAGTTTATATGTTCCTTAAGCTTTCTTAAATTAATGTCTTGCATGATTATTAGAGATGTTAATTTAGATAAAAGAATATTAATATTGCATGACCATTGGATATTAATAGTATTCGTATGAATGATCAGTAATTACAAGAAAATCGGATTTAGAGTTAAACAGAAAAATAATATAAAGGATTGAATGAGAAAACTCATATACCTTAGATTCTTCTCTGATAAGTTTAACCAAGACATGCATTGTATTTCTTACTCTTAGTTTCATAATAGATTTTATAAATTCTTATTTTAATTAATCTCGTATCTTTGAAGCTTAAACAATTGAATTAGAAAATTCTTAATAATTGAAAAATAATTCTTGTGGGACGATATTTCATAAACTTAATTTAAAAACCCTTTATTACTTCTTGATTGGTATATTTGCCCTCCGAAATCACACTTTAATGAAAAAAAAAACAAACAAACTTTTAATCAAATGTAGTTTCAAAGTAAAATATATAATTCTAACATTAATTTCTTTATCAAATTTCACTTTGAAATTCTTGTAATATACTTAAAACAACATTAGTAGACTTGCAAAACATAAATATAAATATAAATTTTATTATCGAAACATGTATTTTATTATGAAACTAATAAAAAAAGATTAAATGATAAGATTAATTACTAAATTTTTTAACATAATTAAATATGAAAACTCTAATTGGTAACATATTTAAGACATAAACACATATTCTAATAAAAGAAAAAAAATATTTAAATTTACTTAATGACGTTTTTTATGTTTCAACTCCATCAACATTAAAAAAAATTCTCTATCTTTTAATTATTAATAATTTTAAATCTTCTAACGTGGATGTATTACATTTTTTTTAAATACTAGTGAAATATTTTAAAGTTAAATATTTTTAAATTTGCTAAGAACATCTTTGACAAGCTCTAGAATATTCAAAGACTTAATCAAAACATTTTAACTTTATACCTACAATTGAGAATCATGAAAGAAAAAATTATTTTAGATCATTTTTTTATATAATATTAATTATAAAATTGTTACTAAAATTATGGCTGATAAAATAAAGGATTTTCTTTCTTATTTAATCTCTAAAATCATTTTAGTTTTATTTTTGATAAACAAGGTATGCTAATTTTATTATGTTTCAAGAACTAATTCGTTCATTTAGTAAACTTAAAGGTAAAAACAACTATATGATTTCAAAACTTGATTAAAAAAGTTTATGACATAATAAATTAAAAATTATTTTTTATACTCTTATTAAAATTAGTCTGTAAGTCTAATTTGTTAAATTTGATTTATAATTGTTTTTTTTTCTTCTTTAATGAGTATTAATTGAAATAATTGTCTATTGAATAAATTGAAGCCATTTAGAGGAATTATGCAGAGAGATTATATCTCTTCCTATATTTTTATCTAACATATTGAGAATTCAATTCACTTAATTAAAGATAAAATATAAATTAGTGCATAGATCCTTTTATTTTTTTGTAAACAAGGTCCAAAAATTTATTACTTACTCTTTGTAAATGATATCATTTTAGTTGCTTAAGTTAATTTGCAACAAGCTAATTTTATTAACCAAGTCATGAATAACTTCTGCTCTATTTCAAGTTAAAAAGTTAATAAGGAGAAATTTAACTTGTTTTTCTTTAATAATATCAACTTTGATTCAATCAAAGATATTAGTGATTCTTTAGTAATTAATCCCTAAGAATTCTCATCCATGCACATGTGAGATTTCTAACAAAAATTCTTTAGTCTAATTGATAAAATTAGAAAAAAATTGTTTTATGGAAAATGAATTTTTTTGTCTATGTTGGTAAAGTGGTTCTAACTCAATTTAGCTTTTTTAGTATTTCTAATTATAGTATGCTATTGTTTAATTCTGTGTGTGATGAAAATAATTGGTTTTTTTATGTGATTTATTTGGACTTTTTAGATTCTATCTTCTAGCTTAGGGAAAAAATTGTACTTTCATATTTGACTAAGGGTCAGGATTTAGAGATATATATTCTTTAAATTTAACTTTCATGATGGAAGTTAGCTAGAGATTAATTACATCTCAAAATGACTTAAGGACCAAAGTGTAATTTAAACTAGGGAAGGATCTATATATGATAAATATCAACATGTATTTGATATATAGATACATATTCTTTCTAAATGACTTGATCTTTTCAAAGTCCTGCTTTGAAATCTTGGAGGTGGTTTAACTGCGAAATTCTGAACTAATAATTGAATCTATGATTTGGACAAGTTAATTCATTGTGCAAAAATTCCTATTTTTAAAGTATAGCAAGATTTACCTTATAGTTATCTTGCTTCCAATAAATAATGGAATTGGAATAAATTTACCCTATATTTTTATTGGTATATTTGTAACATTATTACTATTATTAAACTTCTTGATGTCTTATTTGAACTTACACCTTAGGTGTTCTTCCTGAAACAACCATGCAATTTTTTAAGATACTATTTATATGCTAATAATGTTTGAAAATCAAAATCAATGAAATAAATTTTTTTAGTACTAGTCTTAATGATTGGATAAGTATAATATGCAAGAGGAGAATAAAAATGGCTTATGTAATTGAAATGTTATCTTTAGGTTTATTATATGATTTCTTTGGAATGACATAATTTTTTTTATTCTTAGAAAAAAACTATTTATCGCTTCATGCTTTAATCTACAATATTACATGTGGCTAGTATATCATATGTTTTTACATAAAATGGAATGCTAACCTTTCCACTCTTTAAGAGATTGATAAATTATTCATTGGATTCTTCCAAATGCATGACAATTCAAACTCAATGTAGATGGCTCCTTTGCTCATATTATCAATAATGTTACTTGTAGGGGTCTGATAAGGAATGTAAATGGTAATTTCTTTACGGGGTACGTTAGCATATTAGGTTCATACTCTACTTTTGAAGCTTAATTATAGGTAGTCTTTTTGGAAGTCTAACCAGTAGTAAAGCATTGCATCCATTGTATTTGGAATAAGAATGATTCTAAGAAAACTCTTAATCTTATTTTGAATGTTCAAGCTTAGTTTTATCCTCTATATCACGTTATTTAGTTTATTCACTATTTACTGAAAAATGTACAAGTTGTTAAATTTGCTCATATTCGTAGGAAAACAAATTAATGTTTTGATAGACTAGCTAAATTGGCTCATAAAGACCTCAGACTATTTTAGCATAGACCAAGCTCCTTTGCCCTTATCTTGTTCTTCAAGCTTGATGTTTTGGGCATTGGATTCTTAGGTTTGGTGGCTAGTTTTTGCTTTTTGGACTTTAAGAGGAAAAAATAAAAGGATATAGATTTAATTATAAACTATTTTTTAATATCGTATTTATATAACTTGGACAAGAATTTCATGTGGATCTTTCATGTGAAGGGGTATAATGAATCCATTTGATCCATTCAATTTATAAAAAAAAATAGTATTAAAATATTCCAAAAGAGTTTGTTTTACAAAATTTGAAATTATTCTCCTTTCTTTCTTCTTTTGGCATAACAAGACTCTGAGAAAATAGTTGTATTAAAATTTATCTCTTCTTTTTTCTACTATTGTTTCTCAACTTTTATTTTGATCTCCTATTTACATTTCAACATCTTATTGTTTCACCTACAATTGGGTTTGTAATTGTTTCACCCTAAATTCACTTGCTTTTATCTTTATGTGTTTGAATAATTATTTAATATTATTTCTGTTACCTTCATGTCTATAAAATGGATCCACTTGGTCTTCTTTGAGAGAAAGATTTACAACAATGGTTTTTAATTTGATTGAGACTTCTTTTTCACTTTTTGATGAAAAAGTGATGTTGAATGATGATATTTGTTACATTTGGGGTTTAGAGTTGAATTGGAAGAGGGGAAATTGATATTTTATGGAAATAGTTGGGAAGTTTAAGTGTTTAGTGAAGATTTGTTCCACTGGAGACGAAGAATCGAAATTGAAATATGGGTAAAAGGAGAGAGAAATGATAAATAGTTTAGGGTTGGTTGATATTCACTTATGACATTGTTTTGTTGTTGTGATGAAATTTACAATGTCATTTAACGATCCAATCCATTACTTCATTTCTTTTTAATGTCACTTAATGATAAATATGAATAACAACAACTAAACTTAAGGACTAATATAATATTTTTAAAATTTAGGAATGAAAATTGTGGAAGTTCACAATTGTTTTGGTAGCCAACCTTTCGAGAATGACCACAATGCATATAAGATTGAAGATTTTGTTTTTTCTTATTTATTAAGTGAACTTGCAGAAAATATTTTATGAAAAAAATGTATAAAAATTAAATAAAACATCTCTCATAATTTAAAAATAATATATCTCTTCAAATTTTTAAAAAATTAAATAAGAAAGTTTCTCAGAACTTTTAAAATAATAGAAAAGTATAAGTTATTTTTAATTTAAGAGAACAGTTTTATTTATTTTTATATTAATTTTTTTATAAGGACTTTTCAAAAAGTTTGTCCAAATATAGTCTAAAACTTTTTTCATAAACTAAAAATAACTTTTATTATTTTTAAAAAATTAAATTAAATTAAAGAGCTTCTAAAAACTTTAGAGAAACTTAAGTTATTTTTAATTTATAAAAACAATTTTATTCATTTTACTATTTTTTTTACTTCTTTAAGTATTTAATAAAAAGTTTATTCAAATTACACTATAGTGTATATCTTAATGTAAAATTACATAACTTCCATTATTATTTAGAATAAAAACTTAGGTGTAATATTATAGGTATTTTTTTAACATTATTTCTGAGTCAAAATTAAAATTTTATATCATTAATATATGTCAATATTTATTGTGTAGATTATCAATATAAAGTTTTAATCTTAATTTAAAAAACAACATTAAAAACAATTATAGTTCTACACCTAAGTCTTATTCTATCATTTATTGTCCAGAGAAAGAATACAATTTAATCTTATTTAGCAATCCATATAAAAAGTTTAAAATAATATTAATTACTATATTTTTATTAACACCCTTTATTCATATAAATATTAATAATATTTGAGTAATTTAAAAGTAAAAAAGGCACTTACTAATTAGTTTTAATAAAATGATTAAATTTTTTATTTGTCTAATTTTTTCCCCCCGTATGAATAGATAAATAGAAATAGGAATAGTTTGTAAGATGTAAATTTGCTTCAATGCCATGAATGAAATTTGGTTTTATTTTTTGGTGAAATCGAATTCTATTGCTTATTGTCATTGTATAGTGGTCCCCGGCAAGCTAAGGCCCAGATTAAAGAAGCCCAAACAGGCCCAGAAGCTAAAACCCCTAATCTCAAAACCCCATTTTGCACTGCAGCTGCAGGGAAGGGAGGGACAGTCAAAAGAATGATGGTGCAGTGGTGGCGCTCCGCCGGCGGCCACCTCCGAAGAGTGGGAGAGAGCCGTTGGTCCTCGTCAGGATTCCGTTGTAGTCATTACCACACGATCCAAGCCATTCCAAGAGAGTGCAGTGGCAGCAGAGTCTCAGCCAGAGACAGAATGCAAGGTCGAATACCGGTCGTCGTTTTCTTCCAGAACCTTCTAGAAAAAAACCCCGAAGCTCGATCGGCGTCGAAGAAGCACTTGCTCACCGTCGAGAAGAAGCAGATTAAGGCAATTTTCAACTCCGTCGAAGCTCCTTTCTTCTGCTCCACACGTTTTCCGCTCCAGATCCGTGCCGGATCCGGTTCCTCTCATTTGCTTGAATCTGGAACCGTGTTACCTATCAAGGTTTTCTTTATTCTTTTTATATATTTTTTCGATTTAATTTGAATATTTAAATTGTGATATTGGGTTTTGTAGATTCATAGGGACGAAGAGAGTGGACAGATTCTGAATATGGTGTTTGTTTGGGCTGAAGACGGAATGGATTTGAAGGTTGATGTGCCTATTGTTTTCAGAGGGGAAGATACTTGTCCTGGTCTCCAGAAAGGTAAATCCTTTGATTTGATTGTTTTGGAACTCCTATTTTAAGCTTCATTAGAAGGTGCTTTGGTTTTAGGAGTGAATGAAATGAAATATGCAATGCAATTCAATTGTAAAGAATTATGAGCTGCTTCTGTTTGAACTTTGAAATGCTATGCTGGAAGTTTGGTTCTCATAATCATCACATCGTCAAATTCACAATGCTAATACCAAAGTTATTATGCCTTAAACGAAACAACAGAGAGGTCGCTTTGGTAGCTCCCAAAATTATATTACCTTTTCTTTCTTCTAACAACAAAAGCAAAATGAAAACCAGGGATCTTTATGGATTTTCTCCATCAAGAAATTCAGAATGATTGTTTTTAGTAATTAACTTCATGAGGCAATCACTTCAAAGAATTTGTCCATGCTTGGCCCAAGCAAAAATATGGGCAAGGTAGTCATATTTGGTTAGAGATTAGTTAAATCTGACATCTATAACTGACAAGTGGTACTGGTTTGTTATAATTTTTAAGATTGTATGAAATATTTTTTCTGTTCATCTCTCACTGGCATTTATGGTCTTTGTGGTGATTGTTGGAATACAACTACCCAATGTTCATTGACTTTTATTACTTCTATTATCTTGCTGTTGCAAGGCAGTTATGTTTTTTGTTGATTGTTATCTTGCTGTGGACATCTATGTCTTCTCAAACATTTTCAAAGATCATTCTCAAACATGTGCAATTTAAGTACAGGAGTTGGCTGTCCTATGAAGTGTGTACTTGTTTTCTTAACCTTTTGTCTTTTGTTCTCTTGCTCTTCTGTTTTGCTTATGGTGGAATGAGAAAAGTAATAACCCACAGAGGCTATGTAACAGCTGTTGGTTAAACACACTGTTTAATATGCACGTATTGTTTCTTCTTTGAATGGTCAATCTTTCCAAGAGCTTTAAAAGACAAGCAATCCTGATAAGTAATTTCAGTTTAGAAAACATGGAAAAAAACTGGAGGGAAAATATTGACTATGAAAAACTACTATTAATTGCTAAAGTATTTTTTTGACAGTATTCGTTGAAGATCAGTGTTCAGTTTTCCTACTTTCAATGGTCCATGACTTTTGCTTGTTATGCCTTGGGAAGACTGCTGTTATGTTGGGTCAAAATTGACTTACACTCCATGCTTTTCTAAAATGTTGCGCTGTCTTCAAACATCATGCATAATTCATGCCAAATATCAGTGGGAATTTAATGTGGTTCTAATGCTAAATATGGTTTAAACTTTTTGTGCCATTACAGGGGGAATTTTGAATAAGATCAGAACTAGTCTAAAGTATTGTTGTCCATCTGAACACATTCCTTCAAAAATTGTTGTGGACGTGAGCAATCTTGATATTGAAGATAGGATATTCACGCGTGACATTGAGGTTCATCCATCCTTGAAGCTTCTGAGTAAGAATGAAAACATGCCCATATGTAAAATAGTTCCAACAAGCTTGGGAAACAAAGAACCTGTTTGCGAGTGATCACCAAAGCAATATGCTAGATTTGATAAATTGACATTCATTGGGAGAAATGAGGAACCAGAGATGCAATTTCCAAATAAACAGGGTTAACACCCTAATTTGGTTATACGTTGTAGCAGTGATGACTGCAAACACATTAGATGTAACAACTGTTTAATGTGTTAGCCTTTATTGGCATTCCAATACGAGTGACTCTTGATTTCTAATGGATTAATGATTTCCTGCATGTTCGAGTTAGATATTACATTAATATTTTCATATGGCACCGTTTGTAAGTGGCATGTCACTTGGATGATGTTTTGGAAGGACAAACTTAGATTGACCCAATTCCCTATGTACTGCTTTCTTTATGATCGCAAAAGTTACTTTGACAATAAAGATATCAGTCTAAACATACATGCCGTGTAGACGCGGTTTACTTTTATGGATGAATCCTTGAATCTCAATTATTGGAACAGTTGATAGTTAAGATATTAGGTGTAATTAGAACTGGTCTCGGTAAATTCTGGAATGTCTTGTGTTTCGATTTTTCGAGGATTAACCAATGTTCTACAAGACTTGGTCATTTTCCTAATAACGATCTTTCCTTTTTCACCTTCTAATTTGCAATGGTAATTCATTTGGTCAGCAGCATAAGCATCCATTTCTCGTGTCCTTAAAATACATACCCGATATCAATAGCAGCTGTCGTTGGGCCTCGTTACTATCAATCTTTGACAAGAGGCTACAGAACAAAATTGACAAAGTCCTTTAGCATCATGTCTCTGTTTTGTACTTTCTTTTACGAACCCACGCTGCTAAGCATATTTAATAATACGTTGAATAGACTGAAATAAATGTTTTATTTTTCGAAAATAATATCCAGGCCTCTTAAATTTATAAGATAAAAAGGTATTAAATACAAGAAAAGCGTCATCATGAACTGTCTTATAATAAGAATCGTTAATTTCTATCATAACTAATATAAAAATCATATTAACGATGTATTTTAATCGGTTGACAATGTAAAAGAACGGCCCATCAAAATTAATGTAACGAAGAAAATGTTATATTTTTTTTATGCACCTATTTAAAAAAAAAAAGAACTTCATTTTTATTTAATACCATAATATTTCCTTCCGATGTTAGAAAAGTTTTAGTAACCCTGTTTATTAAACAACTTATAATTTTAGAAGCATTTAACTTATATTTATATTTATTCATTGTCATAAATGATCGTTTATTAGACAACATATACGAATTATTTTATAAATAAGAGGGGAGGGACTATCTTTGTTTCTTTGTCATCAATCAATCCAAACACCCGTTCTCCCAAAACAATGAAAAGGACGAATAAACAACTAATAGGTTCGTGCAATTGAGTGAATCAAAGAGGCTCAATTAAAGGAAAGAATTTAAGTGGGGTATTGGTCAAGCTGGGTAACCTTTGACTGAGTCTAGCCTAGACGCGTTAATACTTAAAAGGGTATATTGATATGTTAATTGTTAGTTAACGCTTGAAGTATCCTCTCTTTCTCGCGCTGTGATTATGTGAAAGCTAATAGGCTATCTTTATGGACTGCTGTTGTAGCAATCATATCTTGTGATGGCTTTCGTTGACATGGAGGCCTAGTATTAGTCAAAAGCAATGTTTCTAATTTCAAAACATGCAAATAAATTAATTCTGTGCTATCAAATTTGGATCCTCTATTGTAATCAAGAATATTTTTTATTTTATTGAATTTTTTAATTATTTGTTAAACAAAAAAATTATTAAATATATTTTATATTTTCAAAATAATATATAAGAAAATAACTTCTACCATCATTATATAGTTTATTATTTTTATTTTATTGAGAAGGGAAGAATAAGAGAATAAGAGAATACGAGAAGATTTAACACATTTGTATCCTATCCTTGTAAACCAGACTTGAATAATCTTTCGAACTTCATAAATGCTGCTGTTTTTTGAATCAGTCCTATAACAAATACTGTTATTATTTAAATTTTTAAAGGAGTAAAAAGAAATAGTTCTATCAAAGACTAAATCTTTTCAAAAATTAATAATACATTTTTATTTATAATTGTAAATTCAACTTATTTTAAGAGTTTGTTTATTTTTCAGTTAGAAAAATATTTTTTGAAATTTTTTGTGCACATATATTAATTATATTTGATATTTCAAAATTAATTAAAAAAATTATTTGCTTAACTTTAAATTAAATAAATACTAAGAGTAAATCTTTGAGACTTATTGGTTAATAAAGTATTAACTCTCTCTTAAATTGTATAAAATTTTATATTCTTAATTTACTTAATAATTTTTTTATTTAATAGTTAGATGAACCCTCCTCCCTATTTTATAAAATGAGCATTCTCATGTAATAAGGATTAAGGATTTTGAATTGTAATGAAAATATTTTGTTTAATGTAAAAATAAGAACAATTATTTAATCAAAATGTATGACTAAGATTAAAATGCTTAATTAAAAGTTCACATGACTTCACTATCCTAATTAGAGTTTAAAATCCTTAATATTCTTCACAAAATGCTAGCATTTTTTTCTCTAAGTAATCCCTTCTTTTAAGAAACTTGCACATCTTCAATCCAATAAGTAATTGAAAATTATTTTCTTATGTAAATTATTAATTTTGACTTTTTTAGTTAAATTTAATCAATTAATAATAATAAATTTTAATTAAAAAGAGATGTACTTACTACACTTTTTAAATTTAACACAATAAATATTTTATTACATTCATTTATTTTGTAGTCAAACTCTGCCTCTAATCTCAAGCGTGGATAAAAGAAAGAAAATATGTTGAGCGTTCGACAGTCAATATAAAACTTGTCAAAGTGGTTATTGTTAAACATGAATTATAGGAAAAGATTTTAAAATTTAAAAGTTTTTACTTGAATAAAAGTAATATAAAGTATTATTATTTTAATTCTAGCAAAAGAAAAAAAAATTAAGATAAGATCACATGCTGGAAGTTAAAATTAAAAACGATATTATACCATAGGTTCATGTTCAAGTTCGTGGGATTAATTCTACAAAATGAAAGAGAAAATTAATAAAGATAATATTAATAGAATATAAGTTAGACAACTATTGTATATGGTAGTAAATATTATATTTTAAAAGAATAACACAAAAAAAAATAATTAAAAGCCATTGAAAATGGTTTGATAGCGTGTAAAGAAGACTATTAAGGTAAAAAAAAAAAAAATAGATGACATAATTTTTGGCTAAATAAAAAGAGACACAAAAAATATATTTATAAAAATTAATTTTTGACTGAAGACAATAGTTATGATTCTTTTATTATCCTACAGACTAAAAGATATTTAAATTTTTTTTAAAAAATAACTATTAACTCTACTATCTATTTATACAAAATAAATGATCATACTTGATCCACATGTAAAAAAATATAAAATGTCTTCTTAATTTACAGAACACTATAATTTTTTTTATAATTTTTAATTATAAAAACACATTTAATATGTTTTAAAAATCATAATAATAATTTAGTAATATATTTTTTCTAATAAAAGAAATTGTAATTTGATTAACAAAACTCAAAATTAAAAGCTAAAAATATGATTTTGTCATGTGCGCACTAAACTACATGTTATTATGACATGACGCATTTAATGTAGTTTGATTTATTAAACGTTGTTGCCCGGAGTCAATGACTCAAAAAGAGTCCATGCAATGAAAACCAGTTGTCGAATCTATTATTATACTACTAATGAAAAACGACTCTTTAACACTTGAATGAGAAGTCAAACGAACAGAAAAAAGAAAAATGAGAAGAAAAAAAAAGTGAAAAAAATAATAATTGTGTATTAATCTCAATGTATCTAGAAGAGAATTAGTAGTATTTATGAAATAGAAAAACGCGCAATGATTCAATAATAAAGTATTGAAATCAACATCGGTTGGGCACTTACATCAACTCCAATCCAATAATGGAATAAAAGGATGGTTTTGCATTAGTAACCGTCTTCTGACTCCGTCATGAATGTCAAATTCAAAAGCCCCAAAAGTCACTACAATAATGTTTTTGCGAACAATTATAGTGGCGAATTAGATAAATAGAGTAAACGATGATACAGCTTAAACATGGTAAGCAATGAAACTGAAAACTAACACGAGTGTTAATTAATTAAGGGTGGTGTTGGCTCATTATCTGGCAGAACCTAAGCACATAACTACCATATCGAAAATAGCACAACTACCATATTTCACACTCCTTTCTGTTTGTAAAATAACTGTTAGATTAAAAAAGGGAGAAAAAAACAAACAAAACAAGCTTCAACTTTATATTCTCTTGCTGTACCAACAGAGAAGAGAGACCTTGACTTAGTTAGAGAAAAGGAAAGGATGAAACATTTTGACTTTACGGGAAAGAGGCTTTTATTTTAAGTCTTCTTCTTCTTCTTCATCTTCATCGCCACAAAGTAAACAATTGAAAAAAGAATAAGAAACGCAAAAGATGGCTCTGCTTTACAATTTACGTTGTGCCCCTAACACGGCGTCGTCTTCGCGAACCGCATTGTGAGCGTTTTATTCCTTTGACACAGCCATGCGGTGGTTACCTACACTTCCCTTCTCCGCCTCCAATTCCTCCTCGTCCTCCTCTTCCTCCGCCTCCTCCGCCGACCATCGCAGGAAGGCCTGGCTCTTTGGAAACTCCTCCAAGAAGTGCACGCGCCACGTCGCCGACCACGATGCCAGGTGGCACGACGAAGACGCCATCGTCGTGCCTCAGCCGTTGCCCTTGCCGGAGCTCTCTTCCGCCGCCGTACTCCGTCAGCGAGACGGTGACCGCCGTCTTCCCTCGCCCATGAAGGTTGCACCGTGCGCCACCGGCAATCGGATGCGGAGGTCAATTTCTTTTTTTGTTTTAATTTTTCCTTCGAACGGTTTCTTTGCCTTCCAATTATGTTAGACAAGTTGATTAATGAATTCAATTAGCAACTTATCACTAATTAGTTACCATAATTCATGCATTTTTTTTTTTTTATCGTTTCAGATTAGATCATGAGATTTATATATTCAATATTTTTGTGGTTGTGAAGTTTATCTTATGAAAGTTTACTCTTAATTATGCATTTGTGTAAGAGATTTTAATTTAGTTAACTTACTCCAATGATGAATTTGTTAACATGCTTGGCTGAATCTTGAATTGTGACAGTGTTTTTGCTAGCCAAGAGACAAGAAGGAATATAGAGCAGGCTGAAACTAGGTCATCAAGGATGGTGCATCAAGATGGGAGTGGTTGTGAGAGCACTAGAGATAATAGCAATAATAACAATAACTTGATGAGTGTCCCTGGTAGGAGGAGTATTTCAAGCATTCCCTGTACAAGTCCCTCAATTAGTCCAAAGAAAACAAGGAATGGTGATTTTGTGCCATACTGTTATGCAAGTCCTAAAGGAAACCAATTCTGGTCTGCACCAGAGTTGCCTACTTTTGAAGCAGGGTTGCCACCTCCTGCCTTCTTTGATTTATCAGCATTAGGCACTGACGCTTCTCCTTCTTCCTCTTCCCATCAAAGTCCACAAGGAAGGAGTCCTCCGCAACACTTCAGAACCTTGAGTGGACCTCCATCACCCATACACACCATGTTTTCCCTTGAAATCTCAACGCCGCAACGCGAAAGTAATGCTCCTCCTCCTGTCAGTGTTCACCCGTTGCCTCTGCCGCCTGGGGCTGCCTTGCCTTCGCCATCTGCTGCCGCCACCTTTTCCCATGCCGTGGCTAAATCAGAATCATTGCCAATGAAAAACCAATGGAAAAAGGGGAAGCTTATTGGGCGTGGCACGTTTGGAAGTGTTTATGTAGCAACCAACAGGTACATAAATGTTGAAGTATTAATTTAGGCTCTTCTGCTGTCTCTTTTCAAAGACTCTGAAACAGATGTTGCTTCCTGACAGAGAAACTGGCGCATTATGTGCAATGAAGGAAGTAGAATTATTTCCTGATGATCCAAAATCTGCAGAATCTATGAAGCAGTTAGAGCAGGTTGGTTATCCATTACTTGTTGGATATCACTGTCTATTTGCCAGCTGTGTAAGATGTACAAATTGCTTAGTGTTGTATGTCTGTGTTTTGTGTTGGTATTATTGTACATGTCTGTTCTTAGAACTTTGGGATTTCACTATTGATGTCTGTGTGGCAAATGTCTGACAATTTCTTTGGAATAGTTATCCTCATTCCAATACTTAGTAAGAACACATTTCCAGTTGCTTTGAATTCTCTTATTATATACGTGAACATTGGGAACTGATGGCCGATGGTGTGTGATTAAGAATAACTTATTCTGCTTATCAAATTTGCTTCTGAAATGCTTTTATCATGAAACTTCTAGTAGCTGGTGCAGCTGCATTATAATTGTAATGGAAAATAATTTTTCTTGTTTAACAGTGAAGAATCTCAGCCCAAGTAAACCACTCTATCATTTTACCTTTATACTTTCTTCCATTCCTTGGCTGATGTAGTACATTTTGCAGCAACAACTCCTAAATTTCATTGTAGTGTTGATTATACTTGATGAGATTGCTTTGTATTTTTACTGTCATCTTCTTTTTCTGCAGGAAATTAAAGTTCTTAGCCATCTAAAACATTCAAACATTGTGCAGTATTATGGTAGTGAAATAGTAAGCAATCTCCTATTTCATAGTTAGGTGCTCAACATTAATCATTTATTTCTATAAAATCCTCAAAAATTTCTAACATCTTTTGGTTACGTGTTTGCAGGTTGAGGGCCGGTTTTATATTTATCTGGAATATGTTCATCCTGGTTCAATTAATAAATATGTCCGTGAACATTGTGGTGCCATAACAGAATCTGTCATTCGGAATTTCACTAGGCATATTCTTTCAGGGTTGGCTTATTTACATAGCAAAAAAACAATTCATAGGTACATTAGTGCTCCATACTAACTTCAGCTCAAAAGCTTTAGATTGATTAGCATTACAAATACTTTGTTTGTGGTGGAAAAATTATTGGTTTCCAGAATTGTAATTCATTTTGGATTTGAACCTTTTGATTACATGTTTATTTTATTTTTTTATGTATTTAGGGACATCAAAGGTGCTAACTTGCTTGTGGATTCTGCTGGAGTAGTTAAGCTTGCTGATTTTGGGATGGCTAAGCATGTGAGTTTGGCCTCTGCCTCTCTCTATGACTTAACTTCTTTCTGGTCTGAGTCCTTGTGTCATGGAGAGAATGGTTCTCTTATTTCATTGATTCTTAGTATTTCTAGCTGTTAATGTGATTGTCTATTCACTGTTGAGAAATTCTCGGAGAAAAAATTGATATTTCAAATACAAGCTCTAAGTTTAAAAGACCAAACTTGTTGCTATCAAAATTCCTTTCTCTTTTGAGATCAGCAGTTTTATCTATTTTTAAAGCTGATGTAGTTGTTTCTGAGTAAACTTCTTGCATGATAATCAGGTGTTTCATGCGTTAATTTGAAATATCATTGTTTGAATATGGATCTCAGACTTTGGTGCTTATTATGTTCAGTTGAAGTGAGGTGCTTGTTTTAGTTTAATCTGAACGAGTTCAAATATTTGGTGATGTAGAATTATTTGTGGACCACTGAATACTTCTGATATGATCATATAATCCTTAAATTTCGGGTAGAATAACTTGGAAGCTCTATGTTCCACAGCTAACTGGACATGAAGCAAACCTTTCTTTGAGGGGAAGTCCATACTGGATGGCTCCAGAGGTATATTCTTACTCTACATTACCCTATAATGTCTCATGCATTCCTTACTAAATTAAATTCTCATACAGCTTTTTCAGGCTATGATGCAAAAGGATAACAGCTCTGATCTTGCTTTTGCTATTGATATTTGGAGTTTGGGTTGTACGATCATTGAAATGTTCACAGGGAAGCCTCCTTGGAGCGAATATGAAGGAGTAAGCACCTCAAGAAATTCTCGATTGACTTTTTCCAATTTTGTTATTCTCAGGCTACTTCAGTAACCATAGTATAAGATCTCTCATAGGTAATAGAGTCCCAATAATATCCAACATATTATTTTAGGATTTGGTAACGTTTAGAACTTCTTATTTAGACATGGTTATAAATCTGTTTGTATTAGATTCTGAAATTTGGTAGTGGAGGATAATGCATCAACATTTTACTTGTTTGGGTGAGCCTCAATTTAACAACCAGCTCAAGGCATCTTTGAGCCAACTTTTTTCTGTTTGCAGCTTGTGGATTCGGCCAAGATGCTGTATGTATGCTGGTCCTTCATATTTTAACTAGCTAAATTTCTTATCTATTTATGCAGGCTGCAGCTATGTTTAAGGTGATGAAGGATACCCCTCCTATACCTGAAACATTGTCATCCGAGGGTAAAGATTTCTTGAGGTGCTGCTTTAAAAGAAATCCAGCAGAGCGGCCAACGGCTGCAGTGTTACTAGAACATCGGTTTTTGAAAAGTTCACCTCAGCCAGATGTTTTATCTTCCACCCAGCTGCATAACGGTACATGCTTCATGGTAAATATAACCGTTATGCCACTTTTATATTTGTTAAAACCATGCTATGCAATTTGGTATTAATTTCTTTTTTGTTGGCAGGATAAACCACTTAGTCCCAGAAAATATTCTGAAAATAAGTCTGATCAGTTGTCTGTACCCAGTACAAATATTGCGAAAGGGAAAGCGGCTGAGAGGCGAGGATTTTTCCTTCCTTCAATAGATATTCTCCCTGCACATTGGGACCAATGACTCAATCTTGTTATCAAGTCTGTTTTTTAGCCTTGGAAGATCTATTGCCCAACCTTGATGAGCCATTCTTCTCTGCTGATATTGGACACTGGGCAGTCATCTCAGAATAACTTCCACATAGCAGAGGCGTCACGGTGCTCTTTTTCTTCCCTCCACTCTTGAAGCACTTCCTACACTGTGTATATTGGCTTGCAAGTTACAACACACACGGTCCAATACCTCGGTTGTTTGTCTGTGACTCTGTCGAAAGAACAAAAAAATGACATTTTCAAATGATTGAGCTGAGGGAAGTTTTCAATATTTATGCCGATGACTGGGGCCCATTGTGGAACTACAGTTTACTGAAGCCTCATGTACTGACTTGCAGCTGTTGCCGTCATATGTTCTTTGCGTAGTTTATCATTGATAAAAGTGAAGAGCTTCTACAATATGTAATTTATGCTGCACGAGTATATAGCAGCAGCTTTTTTGTATAATATTATTAAAACTTAGAGCGCTGCAGCAATTAACCTTCTAAAGGTGTATATTTCTACCTCCATCTACATTAGGTTGAATTCAATATTATGTAGATATTAGTATGCATCCCTCTCCGTTTCATGGGGATTCTGATTCGGTTGCTTGCGTTAGAAGTATCCGCTCCAGATGTGTTGAGTAACGAGTGTCTCAAAATCTTCAGTTTTGGATTATAAAAAATTATGCTCCCACGTGAATTGCCACATGTTAATGCCCATAGGATGGAATAAATTGTAGATGCCTTTTTTTCAGAACTGTATTTGATGCTCCTCTTTCCAACTTCCTCTGGTCAAGAAGGCATAGACAATGATGACACGAGAGTAATAAACAAGGTTTTCTCTTTTTGTTAAGCCAAAAAGTTGAGATGTTCACCCAAAAAATGATTTTGGGTAATTTTTGTAGGGATAACAGAATTACTATCAAATAAAAGTAATTAAATAACTTGTTATATCAGTAACCATAATTGAATGATATTTCAATTTAGACTTCAAATTTCGGACCTCCAACATGTATGCTAGTCCAAACCATCACAAAATCCAAGAAGTGATAAAATGGAAACAAGGTGAATCAAAAGAAAGTAACACAGGAAATGACAAATTTTTTTATACATGATTATATTCTTAGCTATGAAAATTTGTACGAAAAGATATAAATAATACCGAGCTAACGAAATGTAGGCAAGAAATTTATAGGATTTTTCCCCCCTGCTTTTCTTATTTCCTTTTGAATTAAATGCAGATTTGTTCGTTGTATAGACCAATCTTCCATTTACAACGTAAAACATGAAAGCATAGAATGCAGAAAGAAATCTATGTCCTAACTATTGATGAACGGCGTAGATAATATAGGTTTATATTTTACATTTGAAGTATTCTTAAATGAGAGTTTTGTTTAAAATTATCTTAGACGTGAACATTTTTAAAAGCTTTTTATTATGTTAAGTATTTGATTTTTCATTGAAGCACTTAGAATTTATCTTATATTGAGCATTTGATTTTTTTGGTTAATATTGAGCACTTAGACCAGTCTTTATTTAATTTGATTTAAATTTTAAATCTTGATATATAATAAAAAAAAATTAAAGATATTTTTTATAACTTAAGTTTTAAGATTATTAATTTTAGTTTGAATTTAATTTTTATATTTTCCATTATTTTTTAATTTATATTTTTATCTCTTTAAAATAGTTTTATTAAAAATTATTTTTTATAATTTATATAATTCATTAACTTTTAAAATAATCATACAATAAATATTTAATGTATTATATTAATTTAATAATATTTGTGTAGTGCAAGGATTACTAATTAATTTATATAAGTTTTGAGTAAATCTCTAAATTTGATTCTTGACATTACTAAGTCGAAATTAAAATTCTTAAGAATTTAAATATTTTTGATAGTCTGAGGGAGTTTTGATGGTTGTCCGTCAAGTCCTAAAGCTTAATTTGACGCAGAAAAGAGCAATTTGATAAACTATCAAGACAATTTAAATTAAAATGTTTAATTCTAACGATCTTAACGAATGAGAAGCGTGAGATTTACTGGCAAGCTTTAGATTCAAAATCTCTTGGACAACTCACAAGGTTGGTTGAAAGATTTATTTAAGCAATTAGAAAATAATGATACACCGAACTTAGATAATAGTCCTCCGCTTAAACACGAAATAAAGTAACACTTTATGGTCCTCTCGAATCTGATTCAGTTTGCGTTGGCGAATAGATGCGCTACTTGTTCAGCTTATGTTGATGACAAGCAGTCTCGTTTCATTTTCTGGAAAATATTAAAACCCACAATACTACATTTGTTCTATCTTAAATGATGATTATTAATACTTTTTGGCATCAGAAATTGATCGATGATGTTATTTTCCTCTGATTCTTTTCCATTTTCATCCCGAGAAAGAGACACTGAATGAACGATCTATGGAAAGTTCCACCACGACCTATCATGCATCGTAGGACAATTAATGAGAGTTCATTTGCTATTTGATTTATGTCTTATAATTTACTGAAATAATTTATGCAACTCTTTATTATAATAAACAACTCTTCTATTCTATGAAATATTTGTGTAATGGGAAACCAAAAAAAAACGAAAAGAACTATGTGACAATAACATATAATGTGTCAATTAAATAAGTGGAATGAAATTAAAAGATACGTGGAAGCCACGTAAGTCCATTAATTTGGCATATGCAATTTTTCCATTTTCACCTCTTCATCCTCTAGATGTCGTCGTTTCCCACAAAATGCCATACTAATTCTTCCTTTGTTAGCTGTTACATGAATTCAACACATACTCAACCATACGATAGATCCACAACTCATTCAAATGGCACTCACTTTCACTCTATATTTAGAATGTTCTGCTTTGACTTCTTCTTCCCTGTAATTTACACCATTTATCTTCAAAGTGCAAGTGTCTTACTATCGTGGCGGAACAGGACAGGTAGCAAAGAAAAGGAAAGAAAAAAGGTACTAAGGTATTGATTACACTATCATTCAATTTCTCCTAATCCTAGTCAAGTGAGAGTGTATATGTTACGGTTTCAAGAGTGTTCTTTATTAGATTTAGACATACATTTCATTATAACAAATCACTCAACGGAAATGTAGATTTATTGCATCAAACTCAAGTGATCTCCAGCGTTGCCACCTTCTACAAAAAAACAAGTTATTTTAATAAGGATGAACATTTTCATTTTCGAAGTTAAAGAATACAAGATGCCCTTCAAGTTTAAAGAGTAAAACTAATCGTTACTCACATTATAGTTACTGTTAGCACAAAAAAATTTATACACAATAAGATTGAAACACGATATCTTATTAAATAGATTGACTTTACACATATAACCACAACGGAGCCATTGGACTAACCCTAATTAACACCTTGTTTGATGTTATATATAATTATTTTTATTTACTTTTTTTTATATTAATACATTTCAAAAATACATCTAAATAATCAAACATTTTCGAAACAAGCAGGTGTCTTTTTCTTCTATAAATCGATTCATTGTGCAAGGCAATTGTAATTGAGCTGCTTTCAAATTTCCAACTTATGGAGGGTACCTCAAATAAGCATTCTTTTATTCTCTTGATTTTGGTTTTGCAAGTACTCCTTAGTCCTCGAGTACATTGTCAACTTAGATATGACTTCTATCATGCAACTTGTCCAACCCTGCCTTTAATTGTTCGAAGCACACTCTTGTCAGCAATGGCCCTTGATCCAAGGATTGCAGCTTCTATCTTGCGCCTTCATTTCCATGATTGTTTCGCCAATGTAAATTAATAACCTATCTTATATTTAGTTATTGTTTTAACTTGGTTATTTTTTCATGTATATATGTGTTTCCATAACCACTAATATGCTTTACTTTTACGTTTTTCTTCCACAGGGATGTGATGGATCAGTGTTACTTGATGATACCAGCACTTTTACTGGGGAGAAAAACGCATTGCCTAATCGAAATTCTATCAGAGGATTTGAGCTAATTGATAGAATTAAGTATGCAATCGAGTGTGTATGCCCATCCACCGTATCATGTGCTGATATACTAGCTCTAGCAGCTAGAGAAGCTGTTAATCTAGTAAGAAACCCCAGCACCGTCTTATTACGATTCAGCATTAACTAACATATGCTATGGGCAAAATCAATAAATAATACCTTTTTATTAAAAATATATAACATTTAATATTATGAATACATAAAATATTATAATGCCTTATGATTTTAAATAAAAAAATTATTATTTTTAAGTTTTTATTGTGTTTAGAGAAACTGAATTCATAACACAATATACTGTATAAACTAGAGATATTAATTCCTGGTGTAATTTTGTCAGAGTAGTTTTAGACTATACTGGGGGGCACCAGCACTTCTTGGTCGTAGAGATGGCACAACAGCAAGCCTGAGTGAGGCTAATCAGTTGCCTTCACCCTTTGACTCCCTAGAAAACATTACCAACAAGTTCATTTCTAAGGGTCTTGAAATTAAGGATGTAGTAGTGCTCTCAGGTTTGTTTTCTTTACTTCTAGTTTTGGTAATTTAGGAGTTCTCACAGCTTGTAACTTTGATTTGATTGCCATCAATAGCATTAAGAAGTTAGTAATACGTTTGACTAATATTAACCGCTTACATGTATTTCTATTTTCCAACTCAATTGTGATTGTAGAATAGCTAGCAAAATAAAAACAGGATGAGAGGTAAATATTAATTGAAGAAGTATCGTTGGATTTATATGGAGACATGGTACAACAGCTTTGTTTGGAGCAAGGTTCATGTTTTTCTTCAGCATTCATGCAGCTAGTGTCAAATCGCGGTACAATAATATTTGGTGAAGCAATAGATTGAGCCAGGGCTATGTCCTCTAGCTAGCTTCTCCCTTTCCGTCAAACTTGAACAGGAAAAAGGAACATAATTTTGCTCAAAGCTAACAAATAAAATACTCCCACTAGGCCTAAATTACATCACATCACATCACAACATAATTGAGATGTGTCACAATTAATTTAATTTGTAAAATTTTATAAAAATTTGTGTTTTTTATTAAAAGTTTTGAAATACTTTGTCTAAAAAAATATTTGTGCAATTTTTGTTACAATACAAAGAAATAGAAAGAGGAAAGAAAAAGAATAAGATGAGTAATCTGATCAAGAAAAATAGATAGAAATTTGTTGTAAGAATTTATCATGAAAATACTATAACCCTTTTATCACTATGTGATGAATGCAGGAGCCCATACCATAGGCTTTGCTCAGTGCTTTACATTCAAGCAAAGGCTTTTCAACTATAAAGGCACTGGTAAATCCGATCCATCACTTGATGATTCACTTCTACAATATTTACGGGAACTGTGTCCAAATAATGATTCTGACACCCATTTGGCTCCCTTGGATACCATGACTCCCCACTTTTTTGATAACATGTATTACAGAAACCTTGTGAAGAATTTAGGACTACTTCAGACAGATCAAGCTCTTATGCATGACAAAACCACTGCTTCATTGGTCATCAAGTATAGTGACTGGCCTGGTCAACTTCACTTCTACCATGACTTCGATGCATCTCTTGGGAAAATGAGTCTTATTGGTGTACTCACAGGACAACAAGGGGAGATAAGGAAAAATTGCAGGGTGGTGAACTAGAAATCTATTTGTATGTGCTCTGTTATCCTTTTTCTACAAACCAAATAGAGTTCATATATCAACATTCTCTCCAAGTTTGTATAAGAGCTAGAAAAGAGAATAGGTTTGTTGTATCCTTGAAAATTTGGGCTGATAGTTCAGATTGATGAATTAAGAGTTTGGTGACTTTTTGTTACTATGGAAGCAATTTTATTCTAAATTTTAAAATTATCTTATCCCATATTTTTTAATTTGACTCTGATTCCGCAAAAATTAATTTTACTTTAAAATTAAAATTTATCTTATCCAGAAAATTTGTATTTTATAGAATAAATTTTAAATTGGTTTCCCACGATTTTTACTAGATTTTGATCTAATCTTTAAATGGTTAATTATTTCCCTCAGCCTCAAAATATTAAGCAATGGCTTCAAGGGCTTAAAGCAACAATTAACTATAAGTAACAGTTATAATGTTATATCACTTAGCCTAAAAATTGTAATGGTCGTTGAAGGACTATTAGAACAACAAAAACATACGAACAATTAACTGACGAATATTACCTTACAGTCGTTGATCACCTTCCTTAAAATCGGTTTTCTCTGTCTTAACACCTGTTTATACAGGTTGAAAAGGCTACAAAGGCAATAGCTTCAAGGGTAAATTTAGTGCAAACAACTCTATCAAAAGGAGATACAATATTAAAACTTGACTAATATATTATTTTAATTCTTAAGATTATAGGTATTTGTTAATTTAGTCTTTAATATTTTAAAAAATTAATCACTTTTGCTCCTAAAATTATGAAATTCGACACTTTTGCTCATGAAATTATGAAATTGGTCATTTAATTCCTAAATTATACATATCTATCAACTTATTGTCTGAAATTATAAAAAGAAAATTTAAATCCCTAAAATTAAAAAAAATAAGTCATTTTAACTAAAATTATAAGTAACGTTAAATTTAGTTCTTGAAATTATAAGTACTATTCAATTTAGTGTTTAAAATTTTGAAATATAATTTTTAATCCCTCAAAAGCTAATTATTTTAACTCCTAAAATCATAGACACATTAATTTTGTCTTTGAAATTATGACAGAAATTTTAGTTTTTAAATATAAATAACAAAATATTAATCTATTTTGCTAACTTATGTTAAATTTGTCTAACAACGTATAAATTAAGTGTTCGTATCTGATGATGCTATTAAATAACACAATTGTATTTTATAATTAGTTTAATTAAACAATTAGTTCTTAAAAATATTATACTTTTTGTTTTAGTTTGAGACTAAAATCACGTGTTTTTTTTTTTTTGTTCAATTTTTATAAAGACTAAAAACATGATATGTTAGAAACTAATTACTTAATTAAACCTTTATAATTTAAAAAACTAAATTGAACTTTACTTATAATTTTAGGAATTAAATTAAATATATAATTTTACAAACTAAAATGAATAATTTTTCATAATTTTATAGACTAAACTGATACATATCCGTAATTTTTAAGACTAAAAATGATTGATTTCTTGTAATTTTAGGATATTGTTCTCCCATATAGACTAAATTAATAGATAATTATAATTTTAAAGTCTAAAATGATGTATTACTTTTAAAAAATTTATCATGTGTTCAAAGTTTTGAATTTCACTTTATTCAAAATTAATATATATATATATATATATATATATATATATATATATATATATATATATATATGCCAAAAGTCAAGTCATCATTCATCAATATATCTAGGATTTGGCTCAAACTCTGAAAAATATCATATGTGATGCATTTACATTCTTTATATTAACCTAAGAAATTTTTTTTCCAAGTGTCAATGTTTTATAAAATCCCTTTAAAATATTGATTGATACTATTTTCATTCAAAATATTATATAAAATTAAATAAATACTAGGTAAGTTAAATTATTTCATATTTTTAGAGACAATAATGCCAAATTAAGTATTATGCATACACTACATTAACTATGAATAAATAAGAATTAAAAAGAGGTTAAAGATTGATTGATTATTATAATTAATTAAATACACAAAATAAAATAAACAAATTAACAATGATAACTAATAGATTAATTATCCATTCAATTTAATATAAAGCTATCATAGATTACTAATAATTAAATCTAAATTTTATTTATACTCTTAGTTTGATCTAAGATAATTAATTAAACACTAATCATATTAAAAAAATCTACTATAAATAATACATAGAATATTCATCGAATTTAAGTTAAACAATCAAGTGTTTTCTAATCTTAATTCATTTGTCATGGACTAAATTTCATTCATATTCATATATGAAGATAAAGCAACACAAATATGATATTTAGTCATAATTTAATCTATAGAATTAAGCATTATTGTTATTAGAGAATTAAGCATTAGGGTTATTAGAAGTTCTTTGTTAATTATATATCAAAGATAAAAATATAATTCAAATATCATAAAACATGCATATTCAAAAATATACAAAACCTAAGAACACAATCAAGAATAAGAGATAAACATTCAATTTTGATTAAAAACAATATCTAAAACTTCAATTATAACACTTGAATTAAATAATTAATCCTAAAAAAGTTTAGCCTTCTATATTCAGATCCACAAGTAGAAAGAAATAGAACATAAAAGGAAACCCCAACAAGAATAGGAACGAATTGAAAATTAAACTTGAATATGAAAATAACAAAAAAAATTGAAGGAAATTCAATTTGCTAAGGAAAAGAAAACTAAGCTATTTATAGTGCTCTTAATTAGGTATCGTATGATTAATACAAATTTAAATTGTATAAACTCCTAATAAAATAAATTAGGCTCAATAAAATTGTAATCTAATGATTTTTGCATGTAACTGATTATTTGGACATAGACTTCATGAAATGGTTCATGTATGTCTTCTGCCTAGTGCAATAAGATCAAGTTGGTAAAGATAAAAAATTCTCTTTATTTTTTTATTTATTTTTATTATCAGCAATTATAGAGGGATTCTTTTAATATTATGTATAAATAGTTTATTTTATTTGTACATATATAGTAGAGGGACACATTCAATCTTTAATTTTGTCCATTAGTGATCAATTGCTCTATTTATCATAGAGTAGAGAAACTTGGTAGACCTCAAGGCTCATGACCTTGAGGTCCATAGACAATATCTCTTAATGAATAGAGTTCAGTTTCTATGAAGTAACCCATCAAATTGAAATCAAAAGGATGCAATTGCTTTTAGGAGCAATATTTTATAACTAAATTGTTGAGAAACCATATTAATATGAAGTAGTAAAATATGAACAATTAAAGACAGTAAATTTACATGTGTTGCTTATAGGGTAAACAGACTTTTCCACCATGCATGTTCATTAATTATTTTAGTTTTTATTTTATTAAAATAAAATGATAAAATAATTATTTACTTGTAAGTTAAAAAAGTCATTACTATCTTGTTCTATATTTTAAAATATTATTTTATAGTTACATATTAATCTAATGTTTACATCATCTTCTTTTTAATTAGATATAAAGTATATTATTGTTAATGTTTAGTTGAATACATATGAAACCATACTTACACATGTTTACAATAAGATATGTATAATTTATTTATTTATTTACAACACCATTAAACAAAGCTAAAAAGTAGAATTTATATATATTTATATAATTTTTTATTTTGATAAATGATACTAAAAGGTACTTTCTTGCAATGTGTTTGTAGTAAATATGTTAGTTTGTTTCACATAAATCTGCTGGTACATAAAATAAAAAGAATATTTATTAGACCACTTTTTTGAAATATAGAATTTTATTATGGAGTTTGTAAATTTACCTATGAATGTGAAAGATGAAGTTATTTCTAAAACTCCAATCATTTTTTTGCAAAACACTAAGTGAACAAAAAAAGAGGCTTCAAATGTGTGAAAAAAAAATTCAAAATTTGGTAAAGATAAGGATAGTGTACAAAAATATTATGTGTAATTTTTGTAAATGTGATTATTCAATTGGTAAAAATCTAAAGTAAAAAACAAGATATGAGACTTCACATTTAAGTTGTTATATTTCTATTTATAAAGAAATTTTAAACTAGAATTTAAATGCTAATGATGTGTTATCTATCCAAATGTTGAACACTGCAAAAGTGATAATTTAACATGATCTTTCTTTTAATTTTGTGGAATATAAGAGTATAAGGGAATAGATAAACTATCTAAATTTAAGTGTTGTGATGTACTTTAGGAACATTGTTGTGTTATGTATTAAAAAAGTTTGTACTATATAGAAAGATAAACACAAGTAACTTTTGTTTAAAATTTTTAATAAAGTATGTTTAACTTCTAATGTATGGACAACTTTTATCACTAATAGATATATTATTTGACAATACACTTTGAATATTTACCAATTAGTGTTTGTAGGTCTTGAGACACTAGCAACCCTTCTTATAGAAGAAAATGATACTATTGAAGAAAATACTCATAATGAAAATTTGGTTAGAAGAATATTATGTTCCTAATTAACCAATATGGCCTAGACATCAAGAATTTTTCATGCAATATTATAGCATACCTTGGATAATATTTGCCACTGAAAATGAGAAACCAGTACATCAACAGGTTAAAGATTTATCACAAATTCTCTCTAAAAAGCTATAACATCAATAACAATGTCAATTTATAAATATTCTAATTTTAGTATGTGTATATAAATGTGTTTCTAATATAGTGGGCTAACCCTAAAAAATAGCTTAAGATCAATTCATTTAAAAAGTAGGTCAAAGATATTTCTTTAAAAGTGGACTTATCCATAGGTTAACTCTAGCTTATTAGGCCTATGAGCTTTTTAAGTTATGGCCTATTTGGCTCTATGGGATTTTAAGCCCTAGCCCATATGGATTAGGGTTAAATGGGTGAGAGTTGACCCATTTGCCAAATCTAACAACTAATGATGGTAAAAAAGAAGATATCAACACTAACAAAAAAGTAAGCTTAAACAATTGACAGAA